TCCAATAGCTTCATGTCTCGCACCTCTCGCCTGTGGAACTTCCTTCCCTATTCTAGTTTCCCTGAGAGCTATAATCTCCAGCTATTCAAATGTAATGTCAATCGACATCTCCAGTTGCCTTGATCTATCCACTACCCTCATCCTTTCTTCTATCACTCCTATCTGATCTTGCTCTAAATTTTCTGTAACCTCTTGCCTCCTAGTGGCTTCCCGCCTTGCTTGGGGTGAAACAAAAAAAAATATAAATAATTTATATATATATATATATATATATATATAGATTGATATTCATATTTATATACACACACTTTTCACACATACTTAATTTAATGAATTTTCATTAACATTACATTTTTTTCTTTTTCCTTAAAATTAATTCTGTTATATTTCACTCACCATTAGCTTATTTTGTTTACTATAAAACATTGAAAATAAATGTTAAACCTGATTTCAGTTCTTTTATTTTAATCTAAATATAATCCCTCTTATCCGGCCTTTGTAAACAATTCCTCGTATACGGAAGGCCTTCTTAGTCCGTTTGTCAGGGATTCTACTGTAGTTGAAAGTTGCCTTCGAGATCCGACCGGTCATTAGAGTCGGGAGGAAGGACAGATTTAACTGAGGTACGAAGCAGGTGTAAAGCTAATAAGACAAAACATTGAAAATGCAAGTAAATTAAGTGAAAATAAAATGTGTCATTGTTGAAATAGAGGTTTTAAGAAGTAAACAACAGTGACAAGTGATTAGGCAAATAAGTGGGGAAAAGAAAGAAAGAAAAAATGAAAGAAAGAAAGAAAGAAAGAAAGAAAGAAAGAAAGAAAGAAAGAAAGAAAGAAACAGAAAAAAGACAGAAAAGACAGAAAGGAAGAAATGGAAAAAAAAAGAAAGAATTCGCATGAACGAAGAAAAAAGAAAGAAAGAAAGAAAGAAAGAAAGAAAGAAAGAAAAGAAACAGAAAAAAAGACAAAAAGACAGAAAAGGAAGAAAAGGAAAAAAAAAAAAAAAAATTCGAATGACCGAAGAAAAGAAAGAAAGAAAGAAAGAAAGAAAGAAAGAAAGAAAAGAAACAGAAAAAAGACAAAAAGACAGAAAGGAAGAAAAGGAAAAGAAAAAAGAAAGAATTCGCATGAACGAAGAAAAGAAGAAAGAAAGAAAGAAAAAAAAGAAAAGAAACAGAAAAAAGACAGAAAGGAAGAAAAGGAAAAGAAAAAAAGAAAGAATTCGCATGAACGAAGAAAAGAAAAAGAAAGAAAGAAAGAAAGAAAGAAAGAAAGAAAGAAAAAAAAAACAAAAAAAAGACAGAAAGGAAGAAAAGGAAAAGAAAAAAGAAAGAATTCGCATGAACGAAGAAAAGAAGAAAGAAAGAAGGTAGTAAGTAGAAATAAGAAAGAAAGAAAGAAAGAATGAAAGAAAGGACTCTGAGAAAGAAAATATTCGAAAGAAAAGGAAGAAAAGAAATAACTCATATAAAGAAAGAAAGAAAAAAGGTTCTAAAGAAAGGGAAAAGAATGAAAGAAGAACTCAAAGAAAGAAAGAAAGAAAGAAAGAAAGAAAGAATGAAAGAAAGAACTCAAAGAAAGAAAGAAAGAATGAAAGAAAGAACTCAGAGAAAGAAAGAACTCAAAAAAAGAAAGAAAGATAGAAAGACAGAAAGAACTCAAAAAAGAAAGAAAATGTTCGAAATAAAAGGGAAAGAAGCTCAAAGTAAAAAAGAAATCAGAAAAAGAAACAAAAAAAGAAATATTCGAAAGGAAGGAAAAAGAACGAAAGAATGAACTCAGATACTGAACAAAGAAACAAAGTGAAGAGGGCTAAAGAAATCAGATACTAAAGAAAGAAAGAAAGAAAGAAAGAAAAAGAAAGAATGAATGAATGAATGGAAAAAAGAAAGACAAAGTGAAGAATATTGGAATGAATAAAAGCGTTGCTTTCAAATCATTTACTCGATTTAGCGTCTCAATAAATTTTGTGACAGGAAATAGCGTCTAATACCGGTTCAGAGGAAGTCCTTCTGATTAGACAATAACAATGTTTGGTCTTTGTTGTTGAAAGTCTTGGGCGTTTTTTTGTTTTTTGTTTTTGTATAACAAGAGGACGTCATGAAAAACGAGGCAATATTGGGTATGACAGCGGTGGCGTTTTTTTAATAATAGACAGAAAGAAAACACGGAAAGAAGAAAAAATACAGTGGGACTGGTGATGGGGAAAGTAAAAAAATGAAGAAGAAGAAGAAGAAGAAGAAGAAGAAGAAGAAGAAGAAGAAGAAAGAGGAGGAGGAGGGAGAGGAGGAGAAAAACAAAGACAGAAAATGTTAGAAAGAAAAGGAAAAGAGTGTAGGAAAGAAGTCATATATAAAAGATAAAAGAAAGAAAGAAAAGTCATAATGCCAATAATGTATCGAAGTGAAAGATGGAAAGAAAGAAAGAAAGAAATAAGATAACGTCAATAAAGTAACGAAAAGAAAGAAAAAGAAAGAAAGAAGGAAATGAGATAATGTCAATAAAATAACGAAAAGAAAGAAAAAGAAAGAAAGAAAGAAAGAAAGAAAGAAAGAAAGAAAGAAGGAAAAGTGATAATATCAATAATGTAAAGAGAAAAAGAAAAAGAAAAAGCCATGAAGAAAAAGAGATAATGTCAATAAAGCAACGAAGTGAAAGAAAAAACAGAAAGCAAGAAAGAAAAGAGGTTATGTCAATAATTCAACGAAGTGAAAGACGAAAGAAAGAAAGAAGGAAAAGAGATAATTTAAATAATGTAACGAAGTGAAAGGAAGAAAGAAAGACAAGCGTTAATTATCAATAAAATGAAAGAAAAAAGAAAGTAGGAAAAAAGATAATGTCAGTAGTGAAAGAAAAAAGAAAGAAAGCAAATTTGGAAGAGAGATAATGTCAATACTGTAACGAAATGAAAGAAGAAAGAAAGGTGAAAAAGAAAATTGTTTCTTATTGATTATGTAAATGTGATGAAGAGCGTTCCGTTAAGAACTGTACAAGTGACTTTATTTTGACCACACAGACTAGCGGTTCATTACCTTTTTGGGCCATGCCCCACCTAAGAATCTTTAAGCATCCTATTATTCAAAAAGTGAACTCCTATTCACGTAGAGGAAGCCTAAAAGATCAATAACTTAAATTTCTTTAAGAACTTGAGACTGTATATATGCAGTTGATATTGAGAATTCTTTATCCGAAATTCTTGGGACCGGAAGTGCTTCAGTTTTCATATTTTTTCGGATTTTGGAATACAAGCTATTTAATTTGTATAAAGCATCTATAAAATGGAGCAGCTTGGAAATGGAACCCAGGCATAAAGACGATATTCCTTTACAATTCATAACACAGCTTATACATATACCTTGAAGATACGTTTATATAAAATTTAATAAATTTTGTATACATACAGATTCAGGTAATGACGTTCACGCGAATTTTTATGTGGTGAAATTAAGATTTCACATAAAAATACTGCTTTGAGCTTGTACGTCTTTTATGCTATGAACCTGTACAAAAAAAAACATTATTACTACTTACAAAAAATATATATAAATACAGAACTTTTTAACAGTTTCAATAATACCTTTACTAAGCATGAAAGTAACCCACGAACGAAAGGTTTTGTTGTCATGATCGCTAACGATAAAAACTGGCACCAACGTAGGCTACGCAGTTAGGCTGGGGGTAACCCACGAACGAAGGTTTTGTTGTCATGATCGCTAACGATAAAAACTGGCACCAACGTAAGCTACGCAGTTAGGCTGGGGGACTGTAAGTAACCCACGAACGAAAGGTTTTGTTGTTATGTCGCTAACGATAAAAATGGCGCCAATGAAGACTACGCAGTTTTGGGGGACTGTTGTAACCATCGCTAAGGTTTAAAATGATCGCTAACGATAAAAACTGGCGCCAATGTAGGCTACGCAGTTGGGCTGGGGGACTGTAAGTAACCCACGAAAAAAGGTTTTGTTGTTATGATCGCTAACGATAAAAACTGGCGCTATTTTAGGCTACGCAGTTAGGCTGGGGGACTGTAAGTAACCCACGAACGAAAGGTTTTGTTGTCATGATCGCTAACGATATAAAAACTGGCGCCCGCAGTTAGGCTGGGGCTGTTAATTAACCCACGAACGAAAGGCATTTTCATTCAATGATCGCTAACGATAAAAACTGGCGCCAACGGGGAGGATAGCAGTTAGGCTGGGGGAAGTAAAACCCACGAACGAAGGTTTTGTTGTCATGATCGCTAACGAAAAAAAACTGGCGCCAACAAAATAAGGCTACGCAGTTGGGCTGGGGGGTAACCCACGAACGAAAGGTTTTGTTGTCATGATCGCTAACGATAAAAACTGGCGCCAACGTAGGCTACGCAGTTAGGCTGGGGGACTGTAAGTAACCCACGAACGAAGGTTTTGTTGTCATGATCGCTAACGATAAAAACTGGCGCCAACGTAGGCTACGCAGTTAGGCTGGGGGACTGTAAGTAACCCACGAACGAAGGTTTTGTTGTCATGATCGCTAACGATAAAACTGGCGCCAACGTAGGCTACGCAGTTAGGCTGGGGACTGTAAGTAACTTTTTTTTTTTTTTTGTTGTCATGATCGCTAACGATAAAATCCACGCCAACGTAGGCTACGCAGTTAGGCTGGGGGACTGTAAGTAACCCACGAACGAAGGTTTATTATCATGATCGCTAACGATAAAAACTGGCGCCAAAATACGCTACGCAGTTGGGCTGGGGACTGTAAATAACCCACGAACGAAAAAATTTGTCATGAAAAATAACGATAAAATTTTGACGCCAACGTATTTATACGCAGTTAGGCTGGGGATTTGGTAACCCACGAACGAAGGTTTTGTTGTCATGATCGCTAACGATAAAAACTGGCGCCAACGTAGTCTACGCAGTTAGGCTGGGGGACAGTGTAAACCCACGAACGAAATGTTTTGTTGTCATGATCGCTAACGATAAAAACTGGCGCCAACGTAGGCTGGCAGTTAGGCTGGGGACTTTAATTAACCCACGAACGAAATTTTTTGTTGTCATGATCGCTAACGAAAAAAAACTGGCGCCAACGTAGGCTACGCAGTTGGTCTGGGGTAACCCACGAACGAAGGTTTTGTTGTCATTATCGCTAACGATAAAAACTGGCGCCAACGTAGGCTACGCAGTTAGGCTGGGGGACTGTAAGTAGCCCACGAACGGAGGTTTTGTTGTCATGATCGCTAACGATAAAAACTGGCGCCAACGTAGGCTACGCAGTTAGGCTGGGAGACTGTAAGTAACCCACGAACGAAGGTTTTGTTGTTATGATCGCTAACGATAAAAACTGGCGCCAACGTAGGCTACGCAGTTAGGCTGGGGGACTAAGTAACCCACGAACGAAAGGTTTTGTTGTCATGATCGCTAACGATAAAAACTGGCGCCAACGTTTGGAAAAAGCAGTTAGGCTGGGAGACTAAAATTAACCCACGAACGAAGATTTTGTTAAAAATGATCGCTAACGATAAAAACTGGCGCCAACGTAGGCTACACAGTTAGGCTGGGGGACTGTAAGTAACCCACGTCATGTCAGCACTTAAAAAACTTTCGGATTTTGGAGGTTTTCGGATTTGGGAATTTCGGATAAAGGATACTCAACTTGTAGTATTATCATTTAAGATTCGAATTTTATAATATTTATAAAAAATATTGTATTACTATTTTTTTATAAGCATTTCACCCCAAGCAAAGTGGTAGTGCCACTAGTACGCAAGGGACTACAGTTAGTGAAACTAAGGGAAAAGACTGGGCATAGGGAGGCGGGTGGAAGGATAAAAAGAAGAACGGGATCAAGACATCAGAAGATGTCGATTGACATTACATTTAAATTTTTGAAGATTATAGTTACCAGGGAAGCAAGTAAGAGTAAGGGAGTTCCACTGTTGGGAAGTGTAAGAGAAGAAGCTGCTGGAGTAGAAGAGGCGGTTACATTTAACTGTTTCGACGGTAAAAGTGTGGGACCGAGAGGCCAACCTTGTATCACGCTTAAATTCATGCAGTCGGGTCACCAATGAAAATAGCTTGTCATGAAAATATTTGCAGAAAAGACAGAGGGAAGCCACATTACGTCTGTGACAAAGTGACTGGAGTTGAGATGCCAAATTAGGACCGATCACATTGCATATCTGTCCCTGGATTTTGTAAAGAACCTCCTGATAAACAGCGGGACACCAGACCATATATGGCAACAATATTCCATGCCTGGACGAATGGTAGATTTTTAAATGCATACGTAATTACACGCGTAGATACATACACATAAATATTTTTATATATGCATATATATATACTGTATATTTTAAGACAGTTTTATGTTTATACATTCTTTTTTATAGATACAAATATTGAAGTAAATGCTCTGTTTATAATAAACAGCATTAAACAACATTTACCGGCCTGAATGTCCGAGAAATTTTCACAGAAAATATTCGTCCTCCGACAGGATTCGAATCTGTATCCTATACGGAACCATCATTTAGCTTGACGTGCCTTTACCGATTTGGCCACAGAGGAGGGTTCGGTTAGCAAGGTCGAATTTACTGTCTTTAAACTTCAATCTTCCATGAATCTTTCACGAACATTCATATCTGCTCATGGTGTATCAAATGTAAACAAATGACGTCACACATTATGAAATGGACAAAGTCCGACAATCATTTTAAGACATATTTATGTTTATACATTCTTTTTATAGATACAAATATTTAAGTAAATGCTTCAGGCCGGTAAATGTTGTTTAATACTGTTTATTATAAACAGAGGATTTACTTAAATATTTGTATCTATACAGTAAATTCGACCTTGCTAACCGAACACGCCTTCGTGGCGAAATCGGTAAAGGCACGTCAAGCTAAATCACGGTTCCGTATAGGATACAGGTTCGAATCCTGTCGTAGGACGAATATTTTCTGTGAAAATTTCTCGGACATTCAGGCCAGTAAATGTTTAATACTGCTTATTATAAACAGAGCATTTACTTAAATATTTGTATCTATAAAAAGAATGTATAAACATAAAAGTGTCTTAAAATAATTGTCGGACTTTGTCCATTTCATACTGTATATGCATTGAATGTGTTAAGTCGAGCACCCACGCAAACACACACAGATTCAATAGAAAGAAATTTACTGTAAATAACTCATTCTCGAATTAACAAAGTTTGCAAGAAAAAGAAAAAGAAACAGGGTAATAATGAAATAAGATCGAGCAAGCAAGCCAACAATATATACAAGGCAAATTAACAGGTAAGAAGTCAAAATGTTTACAAGCTAAGAATTGACGTCGACGCATAAAAGCAAGTTCGGACAAAGGAACATAACGTTCTGTCTTCCAGACAAGGCAGATCGGGACTGAATAATTTCAAACTGCAAACAGGCCTGTTTTATTGGTTAAGAAAAAAAAAATCCCAGTATGCATTTGTGTGCTTCTGCCTATAAAAGGGGAGAGGCAAATGTTCAAACGCCGGTGTCCCTAAGGCTCTCTCCTGTGTCCTAGCTATTTCTGATCTTCACCAAAGATCCCTTAATGTCATCATTTCCCGAATAGGAATTTATGTAGATGACACTACCATTTACAACTGCCTAAGTAACAAATCCATCAGAGCTGACAAAGTAAACATGGCAGTTGCTCTTGAAAAGGACCTCCAATCAGTGGGGCAATAAAGGACTTGTAAATTTGAGAGCCTCCAAAACAAAACTGCTTTCATTTAACCACCATAGAGAACCTTCTCTGGCTGCTATCAGCATAACTGACGCTAGACTCCAGGAGAGCAATGCACTGTACCGTTTAGGCCTCATACTTTCAACTGACTTGAATTGGAGCGACGACATCGAATCAATAGCTGCATCTACTGCAAGG